TAGTATACAAATGCATAAAAAATACACAATTTGCCCCATGATAAAAATATGATCTCTAACTCTTACTTGATAAAATGTATAAAACGAGCGCCATTAGTTGTCAGACTGATGTTTACCTAATTAAGGCCATAAAGATATTTTAGATCTACATTCGTCAGAAGATTTTCATTCCAAAAATCAATAAAACATTTAAATAAAAATTGGAATGTTTGCTTCGTCAATCGGCGTTTAGCAGCAATCTCAATCAAAATGTTAATGGTTCGGCCACTTTGAGTCTGTGACTAATCTAAGTTCTCTAAAGCTAACTTGTTAGCTTAAAATGGACGCAATGGAAGCTACCCTTTAGTTTGGCTTTGTGTTTCTAGTAAAGGCCTAAAGGTAGAGAGAAGATTTGTGCTTGTGTGAGGGGTAAGTCTTGTACACCAGCGAGTTTGTTCGAAGCCACAGAGGTGTGTTGGAAATACGCTGTAAAAATCCTAAAGGATGTTCACCGGCTTTCATCAGGCTTTGCCCATGGCTTGCTGCTGGCCTGGTATCTTCCTACACAGGAAGGCGTGGACGTGAGGCCATATCTTGTTAGTTTCAGTTCCAGAGAAGGTCTCCAGGAGTCCTTTACTCCTGTTAAACAAAGTCATGGAGTAAAAATTTGGATGAATGACGGTGGTATGGGTTGCATCTCATTGTACTGGCCGTACCTGATCCAGACTCAGCTCCTGAACAAGTGAGGGTATTTCTTTCTAAAAGAATATTTTCGCTATTGTTGAACTCTGCCACTACAATAACATTGCAACTAATGTCTACCTGCATGTAGGAGCTATTGACAGTTATGCAAAACTGCAGGTTTATCTTTTATTAAAAGATATTATTGGCCTATTAAAACCAAATTATGTTGAGTTAAACCTGGACTTCTGATGATAATTATGTCTATCTGCCTCTTAACACTAAAATATAGCTGAGAGACGGAGCAAGCAGCGTCATTACTATAACACGAAACCAACTAAAAAAACAGCTTTGAGCAGAAGCTGTTTGATCCAGGTTTTTTTAACAATACCATTGGAAAATATATTTTTGATTTGTTGCAGATTTTTTTGTAAAATACTTTTAGTAACAAAGGACCATAATTCAAGGATTTAAAGGAGATGCTCTGTTCCAAGTCGTACAGCTACAGAACAATAGAACAACCAACAATTGGAACCTATCCTTCAAAAAGGAGGAGCGAGACACTTTTTTGAAGGACATGTTTTTCATCTCCATTGTGCAGATGAATAATTTGAAAGAGAGACATTGGTTTTGCTCATAACTTGGTGAGAGACAGCTCTACCCGAGTGAATAAGCTTATAGCCAACAGCTAAAAATCCTTTAAGTAAACGTCTTTCGACCACTTTTATCAATGCTGTGTTGGTTATTTTTAATATTAGAAATACAATATGAAAATTTTGATTAACCAATAGTGCTGGATGGCAAGTATTCTGGGATTTTGCAGTTATCTCACTCGAGTGTGTTGCTCAAATGGTGTCGGTTTCACAAGTAAACAAAACTAGTTACTTTCACTCTCTTCCTTCACCTCACTCTCACACGGGCCCACACTCTGACCAACATTTACCTCACTGATCACTCCATGGATTATAAATTGTATTTTGTTAATATATCTGAGTAAAATGGATAAAAACCTGGATTTTTACTAACTGCGTTTATCTGCATAATCAATCTGTGATGCTACCTTAATCTGATCCCTGATTGGTCAGGATTTGCATATTCAAGTATGGCTCTGCTTCAAGCCCTGTATGTCTCTTGATGTGAGTGAGTTTGAAATAAACTATAACACATTCTAATAAATTCTGAACATATAACTGAATAAAATGCCACTTGTTCAAGTTGATTTATGACCATCTGACAAAGAAAGTGACCCGAGTGTGAGCACAGGAAGTATGAGGGTACCTGTAATACTCCAAAACCGGCTGAGTGCGTCTCTCATAGTCTTTTAGTCTCCTACACACCGTTTCAGGGCTGTCGTCATCTCTCTGGCCCAGTGGCTCCCCCGTGACATCATCAAAACCCTGAGCAAAACGCACAAACACCAGACATCATAAATCCTGTTCAATCTTCTTCAAGCCTGGTGCAGTGGAAAGCTGAGAAGTAAAAACCCGTGCGACAGTGACCCTCAAGCAAACACAAACAGATCTGTGTTGACATAAGCTTGAACTGTGTTTGAGCAACACTGTAAATACTCTTTCACGCTTGATAAGTTGTGTATTAGTTTGAAACCACACACTGAACTGCAGTTTCTGATAAATACTATATATTTAACACATGGCAACAGATGCATTATAAACAATTCAAGAAGGATGATGTGTTCATGGAAGAAAATTCGCAGAAAAGTAAAAATATTAATCTGATATTATAAAATAGTGGTGCTGCTAAGGCAAAAAGTAGTTTATAGGCAAATTGTATTGAAGAAATGTTTTCTTCAATTTATAATAAGTATATTGAACTGATTTCAGTTACCAAAACTTGAGAGGAAGCCAATCGCACTGAGCCATTTGAGCAGTGTCTTCATCGAAGAGCGACATTAAAAGTCAAAACTTCACAATCCTCACCAATGTTGAGGCCTTTGTAGAAAAATGGACTCTTACAAGTATCAAACCTGAAACTAATAGCGCCCAACTGAAGACTTTGCAACATCTATTTCAAACTTTCATATTCATAAGCACGTCTGGAAACCTTCACATCTATTTTCTGGATGGTCAAGATGCAAGAATTACCAAACATTACAAAGTCTTTATTCATCACCATAGAATATCAACCATAATTGGCCAGGCTTTGCATATTCATGTAGGGCTCTGCTTCAAACCCTGTCTGTCTTTTTATGAGAAGAAACTTGAAGTAAACCTACAAAACACATTAATAAATTCACAGACAAACTCAATATTGTCATCAGATCTAGCAAAAGCAATTTTATTCAATGCTTTAATGTTCAAGCTCATTTTATACTGAACCTGGCTTCAATAAAAGTAAAAAAAAAATAATATTAATAAAAGCCATTACAACTTCTAAAATGTTTTCATTGCATTTGCTATTCCATTTAATTCAGATATAATGATAGTACTCACTCAGTATTTCCATGATATATACATTTAGTTGATATTCATATTTAATTCTAGTACATACTGCACTAAATATAAACATTAAGTTACCTAGTTTCTGCCATTTTGTAAAGCTAATCTTGAAAATTCAGATGTCTCCACCCCTTCTATGAAGAAAGCACAGAGCATTTTAATTTGCATTTAAAGACAACAGCCTGTTTAAATTCAAGCTCTATCAGATCTAAACTTGAAACTGATCTCCAAACAGGAGCAAACCGGTCCTCTGTGGCAGAGATCAGTGACTACACTAGTGTGATGTCTTGGTTTATAAGAGCTTTACGAGTTCCTCCACATGCCCCAGGTTACTGCTGACCTAAGAGCAAAGTTCTCGGAGCAAATTCCTTAGTCAACATTAGAGCTCCTATCTGGCATATTGTGAAATACCATGACCTACTTTCACGCAAGAACGCTCTGTCCTCCTCACAAGATTATATCTGAGGTTTCACACGGACTTAATTAACTTTTTTTCTATTCTTCTTATTAATATATGGAGTTTACAAATGATCCATGAAATAATTTACATAAAAACACACTCACAGTAAAATTTCTTAAAGGGTTGATAAACTGAGAAACCAAAATGTGTTTGATCTTTCCACATATCGGAGCTAATGGAACATGAATATGAAGATTGAAAGGAGATGCTCTGTTCCAAGTCATACAGCTACAACTTTTCTACCAACAATTGGAACCAATTCCTAAAAAGGTGTTTCTCCAGAACCATCTGTTTTCATCTCCATTCTATTGAAGATTCATTTTTGATAAGGGACAATTGTACATTGGTTTGCCCATAAATTGGGGATGCAAACCTTTTACAAAAATACTTTAAGATAAGGTCTTTGCAACAAGTTCATCAATGCTGTGTTGGTTGTTTTTATAGGTCATAATATACCGTATTTGCATTTCACAATTAACCAATAGCGGATACAAATAAATGCTGGGTTTTTGAAGTGTGATGCAAGTGTGTTTGTTCTCTCTTGTTCTCTTCTTGTTCTGGGGTCTTGACATTTGTTAATCCATGTTCGGTGTGGCAAAAAAAAAGGCTAGGTGAAGAGAACACATAATCTAGGGAACCGCATCGTAATTCCAAAATGAACAAAGACTAATTTTCAAATTGAAAATAACCCAATCTGTAACATTTACTACAATACTTGAGACAATAAAGTGGTAAAGAGCTCCATTTTTAAATATTTGGCTTCTAAATATTGCTTATTCTAGGAGCCAGTCCATCCAAACCATAGACAAAGTTAGTCTTATTAGGAAAAGTGCAGATATCTTATGCAAATTAAATTAGTGTTGATGCTGAATTCATCTGAATTTAGCACTATTACCTGGCCCAGTTAAAGCTGCACCAGTATTCCCTGCTGAAAACAGTGATTTGAATCAGAAAATACTGTGTTTGAATGACAAACTACAGCCTCATCATTATAAAAGGAACTCGACTATGAATTTAATATCAATTTAGACAATAGTTGTGTGGAAAAAAGTACATTTCCATTATAATCTGTTGGAAAGAAGCTTTCATAACCTCAAGTTTAATCATCAACAGTGTTGTGGTAAGCAGACTTTACTCACAGGTTTCTTCGGGGGGTTGAAGTCTGTGTTATAGACACGCCCACTAGGAAAATGTACCCAGCGGGACGTGAGACGCTCTCTGATGGTTTGGAAAGGCACGTCCAGGTTGATAACAGTGTCCACATCATAAACACTGTCCAGAGCTTCAGCCTGAGCCACGGTACGAGGAAAACCTGCAGGGCAGAAAGCAGAAAAACGAGGGTAAACGTAATCATCAAAGTTCAGTGTGTTTTGGAACGAAATGTGCAACACAACATCTATTAGCTTTCTAATAGTCTTCCTAGCTTTCCTGTGGCTCAGTAGGTCGAGCATTGCTGTAACAATGCAAAGTTTGTGGGTTCAAATTCCAGGAAAAAAAAATGTTGTAAGCATTGTAAGTCAAATACATTTTCATTCATATGTAAGTTGCGTTGATTTAAAGTGTCTGTCAAATGCATAAATGTAAATTTCAGACTCATCAGTTGTAGAGCTCTCTGATTGGCCAGAAAGAACAATCAATGTATGCATCGTTACAGCGTGCGATACAAAGAAAACGAGGTACAACTTTCCGTCTTTTAAAGTGATCCTTTCATTTGAATGTTATAAACCACCACAAGTTCAGTTTTGAAAATACCACATCATGTTTTTTCATGTTGCGTCCATGTCTGTTATTCTTCTATTGCGGAGTAATACATTTCTGACTATGGGAGGTCACCAAGCAGAACTAGAATGGCGTCCAAACCAAGCCCACTCAGATCTGTACTGGAGTTCGGTGGAAACAACAGTGAAACGTGGCCGTTTCCAATTTTAGATCCCAAGTTTTCATTAAGAGAACACTTAATTCTTATTTAATAATGGAGTGAGTGGAGAGACATTCGAAGGTACAGATTTTGAGCAAAATTAGTTAATACTAATGCTTTATTAGAGCAGTACCATCCAATAGCCAGTTTGTGTGTTCAAGATCCCTCAGACTAGACATGATGAGGCGAGAGATGATGTCATCAGGAACCAGCTGTCCCTGATCGATGCACGACTTCATCAGGAGTCCCAAATCTGAAATCAGAGAAAGTTCTTTAGTTTGTACTACTTACGAGAATCTTTGAAGCCACTATGTGATCTTCATTTGTGCGGCTTCTGTGTTTGCTTGAACGATTGTAAACAGATAATGTTTGATTCAATGCAAAAAAATTCTCTATCTCCCTCAAGAAAAGAATAATCAGAAATGGATCCATATGGGTGCAGCCTTACCCTTCAAACAAGGTGAGGTGGAGATGCACTGGCAAACCACTACAACTTCAACCAATGGATAATAAATTAATAAATATTAGTATTCTGTACTGAATCACTTTTACAATAAAAAAAATGCTTTAAATGGACAAAAAGTGACAAAGTCTATAAAGGCCAGAACTCTGGACCATTTAAAATACAAACCATTACGTTCAGGTTTAAAAGTAAAAAAAAAAAAATAATAATAATAATACTATATATAATAATACGAGCACGTTCACGTTCAAAAACTTGTTCTATATGTCAGTATTCCAAATTTCCGAAACTAAAGCTTGTTGGTATTACTTTGTGAACTTTTTTTAGTTGGCTTACATGCTTGTGTATTTAAAACGTATAGCTGGCAAATTTTTGTTGAGTAAGTGCTTCATTCGTAGATCATTTACTTGTTTAATGTTGGCTAGTCTCTAAGTGGTGGTAAAGATAACAGATGATCAATCACAATAGTAACACAACATCTTGAATTCTTGCGACATGCAGAGAACATCTGGCATCCATTTGTGCCACGAACATATAGATGTTCCCTTCTAATAGTCAAAAATATAATAAATATGCCTGAACTTTGTCTGAAACGCCTGCACAAAAGCATCTAGAAAATATTTTGTTTGCTGCTGCATTCACTGCACGCAAATGATTTAAGACACTTTGACCATTTGTAAGCTCTGTCAGACACGTTTAGAATGTTAGTTGCGTTTTTGATGCCAAAAAGTTCATAAAATACAAGTATTTGACTTACCAGAAAGAGTTATTGCACACTAGAAACACTCAGACTGATTGAAAGCGTTTTTTTCCAGACAGTGATTACATGGGATAAACTCAATGGTGCCACAAGGCGGAATAAGTGATGTTTATAATAAACTACCTCCTGAAATTAAGTCTAATCCCAGTTTAATCTACATTAAATATGTTAATTTTGAACACTACACGCCACAACTCCATCGAAAAGCGATGGAAATATTGTTGCTAATCTAGACAATTTCTAACGCTGCGCCACACTTGAGTGTTTACGGTCGGGCGGAAAGTGATAAACTTTCGATAAAAGTAACTTATTTAACTGCAGAAAAGGTACAGATTCAGATTTGAAAGATAGCGCAGGCCATGTCTTAAAAGTTACCTGTCTTGTCCTCGATGTTGGTCCTCAGCATATCTCCACTGGATAGATGTTTGAGGCCAAAGCCCTGCACTATCCGAGTGGACACGGTTCCCTTCCCGGAGCCTGGAGCCCCCATGATCACCGCACGGAAAACGCTCTGGAGAACCATGCTGATGCGCTTGTCTTTAGCAAAATATGAGGATTTGAGAAAGTAAAAACCCCTTTGTCACATCATCCCTGCAGAATACCCGTTTCTGAAGCAGGCTCCGGGATGGTGGCGCTCTTTCCGAGTTTATCTGCGCCGTTTCACTTCAAGATTAAGCCATACTTCTGCGCAGAGGATGGGGCTGACTGCGATAGCACGCAATAATCGCTAGTTGGCGGTGTTTCGCTGTGTTGACTTCCGGTGTGTGATACTCTCTGCTTGTTTTGAATTTCTGCTGTTGATCTGATTAATTAGTTCCATTCACCAATCTTTGTTCTCTTCTGAGCAGTTGTACATATGGTTTTATTTCTGCTTTTGTTCTCTCATTCAATATGGGTCCGACCATAGATATTTTACATAGATGCCTCGTGAAACGGTACTATGCGTCGGAGCAGTCGCCATCTTAGAGGAGGGTAAATAACGTCTGTCTACTGCACTGTTCCATGTTGAAATCTACGGACACAATCATATGTACTTATGTAGATATTTTAGAATAGTATTATCTACTTACCACATTTACCAAGAATGATATATTAAAAAATATCACTTTCGTTTAAAAAAACATTCAAAACCAATTGACAGATCAGTCCAACCCGGCCTAATATGGCGCCTGTGACGACGTAAGTGATATGCCCGCATAATACATCTACTTTAATATATCTATGGTAAAAACCGCTTCTTTAACCTGCAATCTCGCGAGACGAAATCACGAGAACGTTTTTACTGGAAGCCAAAACGATACTTTTTAAACAAAAGATTGTCGCCCTTTAAAAGAACGTTTTGACATTGAAATATAAAATGTAACTTTTTTATATTTCAAAAATGTGTCACGGAAGAGTAAGTTTTTTTTTCTGGTATTGAATGTCAAAACTTGTATTTTTGTTTAGAATTAACTGATTAGAATTTCGTCGATGACTTTTCACCCAAGGAACACTGGGGAACAGCAATATTTAATATTAACAGGAAGTAAACTTTTTTTGTAAAATACTTGTTTGAAAAGATATTATTTGATTGGTGTATCGCATTGATCAGATAAGAAACATGTTAAGTTTTAAAGATTGCTCAGAAAATGAATCCCTGCATCTTTAATTCATTTGATCCAAAATATAATAGCTTACTATCAATGTAGAGCAATTGAAAATATTGTTTAGTTGACAATAAAAACATTACATTTGTGGATGCCTATAAATGTTTCTTAAGTATAACGGGTGATTTTATTACCTGTATAAAAGACTGCTGGAACATTCTTAAAGCTCTTTGAGAATGATCTCAAACGATGGAAAACAGTTAACGGGTGCCCTCTTTTGGCGACTTGTTGTAATAGCAACTTAAATGAGGCAGTGACAATCACATTTGGTGTAATTTGCTCCCTATAAATAAGCAAGATGCGCTAATCCTTTGTATATAACAATAACAGATAACCTATCATTATAGTTAGAGTATCTATCAGTATTTTTAATCCTTGACAATGCGATAGATCTCATTCGATGACGGAAAATATAAAGACAGGTGCAAAAAAAATGATTCAGAAACATAATTTATAAACATAAATATTATAAATAAATGCTCAATGTTTGTTACTACCTTTCCCTTCAACTTGTAGGTTTAACGTCAGGTGTGCGATCAACCAGTTATACCAAACAAGTGCAAATACTTTGAAATGTTTGGTCATTTTTGTTGAAGTGCTGGAGAATGTTACAATAAAAAGTTTCTGCAGGCAGCAAAGAAGCACGGTAGAGGTTCCTTGGACGTTTGGGGATTTGGCCAGAATAAATGGTGTTCTCAAATGCTGAGAAATATAGGTAGATACTTTTGCATCGTGTAATACCATCAGGGATGTATATGATTGGCCCAAATTTCAATGAAGGACAATGACCCCAAAACATTCAGCCAAAGCTATTAATAACTATCCTCTGTGTAAAGAGCAAGAAGTACTTGCCCCCACAGAGCCCCGATCTCTACATAATCAAATAGGTCTGGGATTACAGACTAAAGATGAGAGAAAATGACATCCAGAGAAGATCTGTGGTCAGTTCCCCAAGATGTTTGGTACAACGTACCTGCAGAGTTCCTTCAAAACTGTAAAAGTGCAGCGAATAGAATTGCTGCTGTTTTAAAGAAAATGGACACCAAATATAGATTTGATTTAGGGAAAAAAACGATTGGTTTTAGAATTTCTATTTTGAAAGTAAGGTACATTTTTCAATGAGGGAAGATGTGAACGTCTATGTAATTCAAATAAATTAAAACAAAATACATGAACCATAGAAAGTTGACTTATTAAACACATTTTATTGTATTCTGTTCAGCTCAACATGAGATACATAAACCATTCCATCAACATGACAGATTCAACACCCCTGAAGGCTACAGAATCCCTTAAAAAGATTATTTCAATAGAAATACTGAGGTTCCATATGCCTCATTTTTACAATATGTAAAGTAAAGGTAATCTCCACCCGAGTGAAGTAAAGCAACAGATATATACAGGTGCTATCAGATTCAGACATGGGGTAGACTTGTACATTCTATGCGTCGTGACAGCTTCTGTCTACGTTTGCGTTTTATAAAAACAACATTTGTTTTATTTTTTTGAGTCTTTTAACATCCCCATGGTCTCCAGAGCGCGTGTCCGGTGTTTTCTGACGTCTTTTGACAACTGTTAATAGACTCAAGTGGTTGATTTTCACAGAAATGTCCTTTCCTTCCGTCATCAATCGTCAGAAATCGCGACTTTAAAGAGGTGACGCCGTCCACGTGTATCTGCGCATGCGCGTCAGCTTCGAAGCGTGAC